CCGCAGTGCGAACGGATAACGGGTATTCGAACCGTGGCGTTAATAAAAGAGTAGGAGGGAGGACTGGAACCCAGAAAAACGAAATTAAATGTTAAGCGGAAGTTAGGATTGGGAATTATTTCGCCAATCCCTTTCGGTCAACTACTCCAGACTCGTACCAAGTCGCTATTTATTCATCCCCGCGCGCCTCAATCTTCTCTCCAATCTCCAATCTTCTCTCACCCCAAAAACACATAAATAGTGAATGGTGCGATTGTAGACATTTATGGATGTTCCTCTCCAGGCATGGGCAAAGTCAAGTTTAAGTACACACCTGGTTAATCGTGAAGCATGCACTACTGCAAATTTTAATCATATTTCCAAACATGGTCAATAAAATATTAACCAGTGCCTATATTGAACACCTATTGAATGAGATTTTGTGATATCTGAAATAATCAAAGATCTAGGTGTTACCAGCCGAGCCGAAGGCTCACGCTAGCTAATAACACTTATCGAGACCTTGATTATTCCAGATATCGCAAAAAGCTAAACTAATCATACATTTTTTTGAAGAAAATAACAACACACCGTCGCACAGAATATAGTTTGACATTGCTCTTGCAAATCATGCATTGCGCGCGCAAACTGCAGACAAGTCAGTTATCTGCTAGCAGATCTGAATTAACTAATCTGTAGGTTGCGCTGATTCTCAAATTACATTAACCGTAGGCTCTTAGCCAATGAGAAGGCAGTTAGTGAGTACAATTTATAACAATTTTATTTATATATGTATAAATTTATTTCTTGCTAACGGAATTGCAAGGAAAACAAAAAATTCATCCACCGAGTTATTAGTCATTACAATTAAAAAAAGGATGGTTGAGAATATAAGTGGGGATGGGAGAGACAAACTTGAAAATTTTTGGAAAAAACTTCAAGAGAAGGGAAACTTGACGTAGCTAGTCCTTGATTAAACCCCACGCCAGTAGATGGGTGTAATGAAGGTGCCTGGTCAAAAGTAGGGACCGCAAGGCAGCACGGGAGGTAACCATGTCAACCCGATGAGCAGGAACCAACACGCATCGTCACACTGATAAAAGGAAGCTTACGCAGCAGGACGGAAGAGAAAAGAAGACGACAAACCTTCTGTGACGAGCGTGACAATAATTTTGTTGAAATAACTTTCTTCCGCCAAACTTGACCTTTCTTTAAACAGATCTTTTTGTAAAAGACTAGAAAATATTAATTATAATGGTGAGTGAAGATCATGACAAACCTGGCAAGTAATAGCCCTGTCACGTTTGTCACACACTAGAGTTTTACCGTCCTCTTATTCCTGCCATTCTGTGCGTAAGCTCACTAATATCATGGGTGACAGATTACTCCTTAAATTTAGCGCGAAATTTCAGCGTAAATTTAAAATTTTGCTTGTGAAATTACATAATTTGCCATGGCAACGTTCCGTACGTCTCAGCGGTGCCAAGATGGCGAAGAAAATTTAAAATGTTATGAATGAAGATGTCAGGGCGGGGCATTTAAAGACGCTTTAGAAAACCTCAACTCAAGAAAGAGCACATCAAGAACTCTTCCAACAGGTATTTTATCGAAAAACTTGTGAACTTAAGCCAAATTTTATGGTCGAAATCTTTCAGTGCGTGATACTTGCATGAAAATTCTCCAAGTAAGGACAAGACATTTAAGGTACACATCACTCCATGTAAGGTAATCCGACTTCCGTAGAATTTGTTCTTGTAGAATTGGAAATCCTGGACTTGGGAATCCGGAATTCAGCTCAAGAAATCCGGAATCCCGCTAATGATTGAAATCCGGAGTCCAAGTTCCACTGGCAAGGAATTCAAAATTCAATACCTGGAATCAAGAATCCACAGCGTGGAATCCAGAATCCAAGACTGTCTTGCATTTCCTTACATAATGTGACTCAAAAATCATAACGAACTTTACTGGCAGCAGCGAGCTAACAACAAAATAGATCATGGAAAATTCACGGTTCCCAATAAACATTTAAGGTACACGAATGAGCTGCTTTGCAAACAGCAGCGAACTAATAGCCTCTATATGAGTATTTCCGACGAAATCGAAGTAGCGACGGTCGCTACATTGACGAAACGACGATCTTAGAGATTAAGGCGACGACCGTTTTGCCATGTCGATAACGTTTGATCTGACTACATGAGTCTTGCGATAGCGGAAAAGAAATCTACCAAACAGGGTGTTGCACGTTCAGAATTTCGTTATTCATGTCCCAAAACAATGAAACGGCGGCCATTGTGGTGTACAGGCAAATCCTGTGGGAGTTGAACCTTTATCTTATGAAAAAACTTCCTTTTGTTCAAATAAAATTGTGTGAAAAAAAAGTTTACCACTTAGGAATAAAGATGAAAACAAGTATCACAATCGTCTTTATTCTTCTCACTATCCCCAACAGTAAACTGCCCGTGCAAATGTGATCGTAAGTCTTAAAAGCGTGAATGAATTACCAAATATGAAGGGTCCATTGCAGCTGAAAAATGGATGGTTAGGGACTGGTCAAAAAGTATAGGGGGGGGGAGGGTGGGCCGGAGCAGAGAGGGGGTGGGTCATGAGGTTTTGAGCCTAGTGCAAGGGGTGGGTCGTGCAATTTTCAGCTACCCTTAGGGGGTGGGTCACCCTATTTTATTACATAAATAGGCACTAACTACTAACGAGACAGTTGACTACACTTGTTATATAAAACACAGCCAGCTGGAATTATTGCTAAAATACTCAGAAACCTCAGTGTTGTGCGAAAAAATACAAAGGGTGACAGGCCGCACACCTATACGGAAGTGGAACCCTCTGTTAACCTTTTTTTTGGCTCTAACGAGCATGTCCTTTAATGATTTTCCTTTATGCTAAGGAAATGATTGGTGGTTCTTTAAAAATTTATTGAGGTTATAGTTGGTTTTGTATAAGATTCCATTTTTTCATTCAAGCTTCCTTTATAATAGACACTGAAGGCTGACATTGTGTCACGATTGGCAATTTTTCTTTTTCCTCCTGTTGTTTTGCTTTAGAAGTTTAGACTCCCTTTGGTGAATTTTATTTCTGATATTAGGTTTTCTATCAAAGATTGTGGGTAGCCTCTGTCCATCAAGCGTTTTTTTTTAATTTGAGTTATTTTCCTCAAAGGTTGTTTCTGAGGAGTTTTTTCATAGGATTCTCAAGGCTTCTCCTTTGACAAATCCTTTTTTAACATTTGGACGGTGACACAAGGTGAAATGTGTATACAAGAAGGTTTCCGTTTTTCAAAAATGTGTCTTTGCATCAAGGATAGATTTTACCTTCAATCTTGTGCCTTTGTATACAACTGTGTCTAAAAACGCAGTCTCAGTGTCAAATGTTTCGGCCGTGAATTCAATAGTTGGGTGATCTAAGTTTGCTTGTTCAATGAAGGCTTTGATGTCTGGTTTACTCATGTCCCATAGGGAAAATATATCGTGTATGTAGCATTTCCAAACTGTTGTTCTAAAGACAGTTTTGCTTAGAGTTGTTGTTTCAATATATGTCATGAAAATATTGGCAAAGGAATCAAAACTGCTGTCTTTGTGCCCATTGCAGTTCCATAATTTTGCGTGTAGTGCTTTCCATTGAAGTGGAAGAAATTTTCTTTGAGGATTAATCTAAACATTTCCAGCAAGTAATGTGTAGGAGTGGGTTGTCTTTCTAGAAATTTTCATTTGCTTTGTGACAGACAATTTCAATATACCCTCGTTTTGCTGTATATTTGTGTCAAGACTCATAACATTCCATCGAAACAAGAAATGTTCGGTTTTTCACTTTTGTCTTTTCAGTGAAAGGTATGATTTCTGTGATTTTGATATTGGTTGTAGCAGCTAGTGTATCAACAAATTTTGTCAAGCACAGAACAAGGTTTTATTGGATTATTAAGAGGAAACCAAACATCCATGTTTTAACTAGGGGGTGGGTCGTGCAATTTCCAACCTTGCTTTAGGGGTGGGTCAGTCATTTTTGTGCCGAAGGGAGGGGGTGGGTCATGTGTTTTTTATCAACCACATTTCCAAATGCTCCGGCCCACCCCCCTCCCCCCCCTATACTTTTTGACCAGTCCCTTAGAAGTACTGGCATTGGTGGCCTTATTTCTCTTCAGAACGGGAACCTGCGACGCTAAAAACTCTTGAGAGTTTTTCGTAGATGCTCTATTTTGCTTTGTTAAGATTTGTTTTCAAAAGAGACGGACAAATACAAAGTAAGTTTGATGAATAGAAGTTCTTTAATATCACCGCAGACTCAGCTTAAAATTGTTCTTCTTAAAGTGCTAACTGTATTCGCCGTAACTTTCTGATTACTCTGTTTCTTGCAATAAAGCTTTAGGTAGGAATATCCTTTCAGACAGGAGATAGTCTGTCGGCAATCTTCCTCTATTCGTGCTTCAACTTTCACAAATGTGTTAGCGTAGCATTTTAAAGTTAAATTTGATCAGCATTTTGTGCAGCGAGTTCTACGGTCACGATTGCCTTCAAACTTGCAGATATAAAACTAGAGAGCTCTGAGACTTATTTGCTGAAGTTAGGGAAAAATCTGTCGTGGGAATTCGAAGTTATTTACATTTTTCGTAAAAATGCGGTTTTAAATATATGCCGATATCTCAAAAGTTTTATACCTACAAAAAAATGAATAACATTTTCTTAAATTTCCAGTTTTTGTAAAACAGCCCTTCACTATGCCGTCCTTGGTTCTGATGCCCCATGTGAGATTTTGAGTTGTTGTATTGAAAATGGAGCTGATGTCAATGAAGGCTGCAGACTTAATGACCAACCCCCTCTTATGTTAGCAGTTGAAAATGGTCACATCAATGCAGTCACCTTCTCATTGAACATGGAGGTGATGTCAGTCTTCAAGACAAATGTTGTGACTATGCTCTCCATGGTTCTGATGCCCCGTGTGAGAATTTGAGTTGTCTGATTGAAAATGGAGGGGATGTCAATGCAGGCTGCAGATATGACAACCAAACCCCACTCATGATAGGAGCTGGAAAGGGTCACATAAGTGCAGCTGCTTTTCTCATTCAACATGGTGCTATTGTGGATCTTCAAGACGGAAATGGAGAAACAGCCCTTCACCATGCTGTGCTTTTTTCCTTAAGAAAAATTTGGGATCCGAAGAGGTTTGGATATGGAGCTAATTATATCAATTCAGGCTATAGAAATGACAGCCAAATCCCCCTGAAGATATTGGCTGAAAAAGACCGTGTACGTGTAGCAACCTTTCTTATTGAACATGGAGCGAATGTGGATCTTCAAGACAAAAATGGTCTATCACCTCTTCATTATGCCGCAAGTCATTCTGAAGTCTTATTGCAGATTTCAAAAAGTTTGATTGAAATTCTCAGGAGCTGATGAAAATAAATGTGCAAAAATCAAAAGCACCCTGTTGATGATTGCATGTAAGTATAGTTGCTTAAATGCAGTCCATTTTCTCATTGAATGTGGAGCTAATTTGGCTGTCAATGATGAAGATGGTTATACAGCTCTTTTTGATCATCATGCCTGCAATTCTCATTACTTGAAATGTTTGATTCAAAGTGGAGCTGATGTCAATCTCTTGAATGCAGTCACCTTTCTCAGTGAACATGGAGCTTACATGGCTCTTAAAGACAGTGATGAATATATAGCTCTTCATCATGCCAGCAATTCTCATTACTCACATGAGATTTTGAAATGTTTAATTCAAAGTGGAGCTGATGTCAACGCATGTACAAAGACCAAAAGCACCCCTTTAATGATGGCATGTAAATGTGGTCTCTTGAATGCAGTCACCTGTCTCACTGAACATGGAGCTAACATGGCTCTTACAGACAGTGATGGTTATACAGCTCTTCACCATACTTGCAATTCTCATTCACATCACTCTATTAGAGTTTTAGGTTATTTGATTGAAAATGGAGCTGATATTAATGCTTGCACAAACGATGACTACACGCCTCTGATGATAGCAGCTCAAAAGGGTGACATAAATGCAGTCACCTCGCTCGTTGAATGTGGTGCTAAATTGTGCATGATCGCGACAGAGATGGTCGAACAGCTCTTCATTTTGCAATATATTATATTTCTCCTGCCTCAATTTTTGAGGTATCAAGTTCTTTAGTAAAATATGGAGCTGCACCTACAGTAATGAGACCCTACTGATATGTTAGGAAGGTGTGATGGTCATGAAAATGTGGGGACCTTTCTTATCGAACATGGAGCTGATGTGGATCTTCAAGACAAAGATGGTGACACCGCCCTTCACTATGCTGCAAGCTCTAGTCTCCCTGAGATTGTAAAAACATTTTTAAATCTTGGAGCATCCCACATGCGCAACCACCAGGGACTGACAACACTTCATCAAGCCAGCATTAGTGCAAACATTGCAGTGGTGGAGTATTTAATTCAGAGACCAGAAATAACAAGAGAGCAAAGAGTGGATGCTCTAGAGCTGCTTGGTGCCTCTTTTGCTACCCAATTTCTTAAGTTTAAATATTCTTTTTATTCTTGTGTCGACGAAGCACTGAGGTATATCAAGCGTGGTATGCAAGAGAGATTTGTGGATGCATCTCAGCCTATATTAAAACAACCAAACGAACCTGCTTATGGTAACAGAAAAGAGAGCCAGATACGTGAGGAACTTGTTCAGTTAGAAGGTGACACCCAGGCTATCCTGATGGAATGCCTTATTATTAAAGAAAGAATCCTTGGAATGTACCACAGTGAGCTTCTCCCATCAATTAGACTTGTTTGCAAGCAGGGCAACCTCACTGATCCTTCTGTACTAATAGCAATGTATAGTCGTGCTGTGGATATAGCACAGAAATCTAATTTATCTGCCCGTGATGATTTTTAAGAAATATGGTATTTATTGCATGAAATGTACAGGGGGAGTGCTCGTCTAAAAGAAAAGGATTTGCTTGAATTGCTGGGGCAAAAGGTTTTTGAGTATGAGAAGCAACATACGAAGAGAAAAAGAAATGAAAACAGCAATACTGTCAAAAGCTGGTCCTGGAGGATCTCTTCGACTGTTCACTTGAACTTGTGCTCATGATTTCAAAATTTGAATTTTGTGACGAGAGGAATGCCTCAAGTTTGACCATGTTATTGAGGAAACTCTTCATGCAGGATCCTAGAAACAGATCTGGAAATACACTGTTACATGAGTTCATTAAAAGGTGCACAGATGATGATGATGATTTATCTCCATGTCTTCAAGCAGTGAATCTTCTTTTGAATGAAGGATTCGATGTTAATGTCGTCAACGATGAAGGAAACACTCCACTTCACATAGCTGTCACGTTAGAACCCAGGAATGACAAACTTTATCTCGTTACTGAAATCCTGCATCTTTTGTTTTATGGAGGTGCTCATCATGATTTTGTCAACAATGATGGTAAAACACCCATGGACATGGCTAAAACTGATGTAGCTCGCATGATTCTTTCTGAGAGAAGAAAACTGGAGTTAAAGTGTATCAGTGCCAGAGCTGTCAAAAGGTTTGGAATTCCTTATTTGGGGGTGGTACCCAAAATTCTGGAGAATTACATCAGTAGGCATTAAAATTTATCAGTTGCTTAGATACAATAAATTTTTAGTAGCATTATTGATATTCTTTAACATTTTAACTATCAAGAAAACATGCCTAATTTTCCTGATTTTTATGCTTCTGGCTTCAAAAGTAGTTACTAGCTACACAAGCTGACAGGCTTACTTTGTGGCATCCAGTCCTTTGGATCCAGAACGTTGTATTGACGGCAAAAATATGAACCATAAACCTAAAAATAAAGAATTTGAGATTAAACCAAGAGTCACATTGGACCTCATTTTTCTATAGCTATATCTATTTTTAATCATGGGAAGAGGGTAATATGACTCCCCCAGTAAGGGGGGTGGGGTGGGACAGGTGGGCTAAACCTCTTGACTCTTTTTGTTTACTTACCTCGTCCCTTAGGTCATCGTTGATTGCAAAACATTGATTTTTGTTGCATAATTTCGTCCCATTTCTTCTGCTTCCCACTCATTTAAAACTCCCACCTCCCATCCCGTTTTCACCCACTCCCTACCCATCCTGCACTATGTACCCCTTCTGCCCTATGTAGCCCTCCTTCCCTACCTACCCCACCTGCACTACGTACCTCTCCTGCCCTACCTACCCCTCCTGCACTACCTACCCCTCCTGCACTACGTACCCCTCCTGTCCTACCTACCTCTTCTGCCCTACGTACCCCTCCTCCACTACGTACCCCTCCTGCCCTACCTACCCCTTCTGCACTACGTACCTCTTGTACTTTGCCCTTCTGTTACCTCTATTGAAGGGACACTTTCTCTGGGTCCCAAAACCAGCTGGGTTTAGCCTCCATTAAAGGACACACCTTAAAACTCGAAAAGTGACTGTCATGACCACAAAAAAGGGTCGACATCTCTAAGTATACACTAATCACAATAATGGAAGCTTTCACTAACTGAACTATCTCACCAAAATCGATGTAATGTACTTGGTTGACTCAACATATTACATCGTAAAGAGGAGTTACTGAAGAATTTTTTTATGTTGTCTTTGTTGGTTAATTATTAACAAACCCCTCTATTCAGCAGTGGACACCTCTATTCAAGGGACCCAACCTCGTCGCCAGGGCGCTTTTCCCTGGCACCTCCAAAGACAGGGAAAAGCGCCCTGGGGACGAGGTTGTCCCCTAAATAGAAGTTCCTCTGTAGTGGCTTACCTTTCTTACAATGTGTGGTACATGTTACGGTTTTTAACTCGGTAAAACTGGCAAAGCCGGGTTTGAATTGCCTAGTTATCGTTATGCATAAGGGAAGAAACTTCCCCGGGGGGGGGGATTTGAAGGAAGTTTGGTTGGGGCTGTGCTGCTGAAACCCTCCGATTCTGAACCTCTTTAAGGCAAAATGCATTAAAATTGCAACCCTGTTTAAGAAGCTAGTTGAAATAGACCTTTAGCTTGTGTGTTTTGTTTTCCCAAATCAGACCACGTGATGTTCTCAAGGGAATTTGCCTTTTGTCTTTTCATTAGTAATAGTCATGCACGCATATCCACGTCAGGAGCGTCCATAGGACGACATTATTTTAAAAGAAACAATTCTCTGGGGTAACATCACACGGTCTGCAATGGGAAAACAAAACCTACAAGCTAAAAAGGTCTATTGAATACTTTTTTTAAGATTGAAGATCCCATAAACTTATACCATGCAGAATGGCACATATCGAGTGAGCAAAACATGGAAGTTCCCCCGCCCCCGCTTGAGGGCGTGTTCATCAGTAAACTCTCAAGGGAACCACTATCCATATATGGAGGTGAAGAAACAAAGCATTAGTTAATGACGACATATCGTCAAGACACGTGCGTGATTCAGGGACGGAGGTTATTTACAAAGCGAAACGAAAATAGAGCCTGATCTCAGGTTAGTCATGCTAAAGAACAATTTCACTACATTATCCTTCAAAAGCAATACTAAATTCTCAGTGATTCTACTAGTGCGTATTGCTGATTAAACATTCCTTTCGTACATTACAAGCACAAATTTTAAGACAGATAATAAATGTATTCTGAGTATTTTTTTTCCCGTCTTTTTGCTTTTTGTCCTTTTATTCAACACGCCCGGGATGGCATGATCTGTAACATGTAAAAGATGAAACGTGATCTATGACGTCAAAAAAATTTTTCGTAGAAAACACGACTAGTTCTCAAAAGATCGTGTGAATTATCAGGAATTATAGGAAATACATAGATATTTTTCAAACATAAAATTATTTCGTCAAAGGGATGACCTAGAAGGAAAAAAATGGTAACAAAAAATTTGAATAGTATTTCTTTATGAGCTTGAACAATTCTAAATATCTGGTAAAAAGGTAACATTATCTGATTAACCATTAAGAAAGAATGACATATTTTAAGATTTTACTAACCACATAAATTTTTTCCGAGTTTTGTGGCACAGCCACTCTGATTTTAGTCTGCTACACAGCCGTTTTT